GCCCTGCCCTTGTGACGGGGAGGGAAAGCGGAGGGGCTCCTGGGGAATCCGTCCCCGCACGGGGTCTTCTTCAGGATGTCCAGAGTGCTGTGGTCCGGGAGGGGATGCTGCAGCTCTTCTGCTCCGGCCTCTTGGATAATCACCAGCGGCAACATCCTGTGGTCCAGGGCTGGGGTTGTGCTTCTGGATTCCGCCCCCTTCTGATCCTCAGAGCTGAACGAGTCCCCCTCACTGGTCTCCGCGGGGTTGTGGGGCTTGTTCCTCCCAGGGACATCGAAATCACAGGCAGCCAAGTAGCTCAGGATGCTGGGAGGCTGGGCTTCCTCCCCGCCATCCCCCGGGCTCTGCCTCTGCTGCAAAAGAGACTGCAAGGAGATGCCCAGGTGAGCCTGGAGATGCTGCAAAGCCCGAGGTCCCACCTGGGAGAGGGGACTCTGCTCTCCCGGCTCCCAGCTGCATTCCCAGCACACCTACTGCAGCGGACAGCCCACCCCTGCCACCCCAGCTGCTGAGCACAGGCCTGGTGAGGGCTTTCAAAACTGTTTTACAGGATCTAAAATAGAGCTCCAAAGAATAGAGGTTGAAAGAAAAATTTAACAAAGCCCCAAGATAAACTGCAAAGGTGGCAGAGTGCTGTTTTCACGTTTCTGAGTGTGCCCCTGGACAGCCTGATCCAGCCCAAAGCCCCAGGTCTGTGCTGAGCCCTTTGCTCTGTGTGTTCCTGGACAGCCCAAAGCCAAACCCCAGGTCTGTGCTGTGCCTTTTGCTCTGTGTGTTCCTGGACAGCCCAAAGCCAAACCCCAGGTCTGTGCTGTGCCTTTTGCTCTCTGTGCCCCTGGACAGCCTGATCCAGCCCAAAGCCAAGCCCGAGTTGTGCTGTGCCCTTTGCTCTCCCCATGCACTCACCAGGTAATACCTCTCTCTGAAGCTGGGGGTGTTTGGGGGGGTCCAGTTGTACAAGGAGCTCTTCCTGCTGCCCACAGAAAACTTGGCAGTGCTTCCAGGGGACAGAAACAGGTTCTCTGTGTCAAAGGGGCTGCAGCAGAAACAAAGGCCTGAGTGTCAGTGAGAGCAAGCACAGAGGTGTTGGTAGGATTTGAACAGGGATGTTCAGTCATCAACACACAGAATAAAATGAAACAGAAACTGCCTCTCTAGCCAGAACCTTTGATTGCTCCAGCAGAGAAAGGCACAGGCAAAAGGGCTGTGGTTTGTACACAGATTTCTCAACACCCTTTTGACAGGAATCCAAGGTAGAGCCTTTGGAAGAGGAGCCCAGAGGGCCCAAAGCAGGAGAGCTCTGCCCTCCTGACACCAGGGCTGGGCAGTGACAGCCACAGAGCCACAGGGGAAGGAAACTCAGCACATGGAATAAAGGAGAGCTGCCAGCCTCCCTCCTGAGAGCACACACCACCTGGAAAAAACAATAAAAGCCCTCGTTATCCTGCAGCTATTAATAAGCAATTCCTGGGCTGGCAGAGACCTGTGCAGTGCTGCTTGGCAGGGTCTGTGCTTCACACAGGCAGGGATGAGCCACTCACAGCCCCAGAGCAATCTGCCTGTGCTCTGCAGGGTTTGTCTAGGGCTGCTCCAAATTAATTCCTAATTACCTACTGCACCTCAGCCATTGCTTTCCCAGCTCCTTCCCAAAGCAGTCCAAGGAAACTCACATGAATGATCCCCTGGGATGCAGCTCAGCCAACCAGGAGACAGAAAACCCATTTCAAGTTGAGTAAAGTTTGGTTTCTCTATGTGTTACTTTTTGTTGCCCACTGAGATGCCTTGTGGCACCAAAAGAAAATCTGCTTTCCCACTTGAGTACTGGCGTTTTGAAAGCAGTGAACTGTTTGCAGCAAACCTGCAGCCTCAGTGACTGAGTATAACAACCAAAGAGCAGGATGAAATCAGCTGAATTCAGCTGTTCATTGCAGGGCACGCAAGTGATAACAAGGACTAATAAACTGCAGGGAAATGAATGTCTGCTCTCTAGCAGAAGCTGAAAGCAGAGTGCCAGCCCTGTCTGGCTCCTCAAGCTGCACGGGGACAGAGCATCCTGCAGGGCAGCACTGCTCCCTGAGCACAGCGAGTGCCTGCAGCTCCCACGCTGTGTCCCCAAGCTGGGCCAGGCACTGTCCCCAAGCCAGGCTCCATCCAGACAATGTCACCCAGGCACTGTCCCCAAGTCAGGCTCCATCCAGGCAGTGTCACCCAGGCACTGTCCCCCAGCTGGGCTCCATCACCCTGCTCCCAGAGCTCAGGAACAGCATCTGCACTGACTCATGGGCAGAAATAAATCGGGTTTCTGACAGCAAGAGCCTTTTAGCCAAAGCCTGCTGTGTTTACTAATGAAAGCAAATTACTCCTACCCATGGCATTCTTAACAAAAGTCACAGGGATCCATTCCTCACATTCTTCATTTTCAGCTTTTAATACAGTGATGCAGTAATGCAAAATGACACTTCTAGGAGAGGAATGAGAACAAACAAAATCTGCTCTGCCCCTTTGACAATTCCTAAAAGCCTCCAGCAAAATGCAGTCCCTCAGCTGGCTCCAGACCAGCAGCAGTCCCTGGTTCTGCAGGAGGGACTGAGAGCAGAGGGATGGACAGCAGGAATGGGCTCTGCTCTGGAGCTTCTCTTATCTCTGGGCTCCCTGGGGACGATCCACCATCCCTTCACAATTCCTCAGCAAACAAACCCTCTCACGGGGACAGCTCCATAGCTCCCTCTGTGCCAGCCCTGTGACACACAGGGCCAGCAGGGATGTTCCAGGGCCAGGCAGAGGGACTGGGCTCTCCCCAGACCCAGGCTGCACTCTGAGGCAGGGAGCTGTCACACTGCAGACTCTGCAAGCAGACTATTGTCTTTAATGGTCACTGGCTCTTCCTCAGTTTGTTTAGTCACTTCCTGAAATCATTGACACAAAACCTCTGCATAGGTAGAAACTATGCAGGAATGCCGTTGTTTAACCTTAAATTGCAGAGCGAGGACTTTGATGGGGGTGGGGGTGGCTGTGGCTGGGCTGAGAGAGAGAGTGGCTCCACATTTCCTGTCCACATTTCCCAGCCAACATCCACATGCCTGCACAGGATTATCCAGCAACAGCTTTGCAGGACTGAAAAACTCTATAAAGAAAAAAAAAAAAAATCTAAAGTGACCCACAAGTCTGATCATCTTGGCCATCCCCATTCTGTGCCCCAATCATTCCCTCCTGTCCAGCTACTCCATGGATTCAATGCCCCCAGAGCAGAAGTGTGGATAGCATTCCCTGCCTGAATGCCACTGCTCAGCCTGAACCCAGGCTTACATTAACACCCCAAAAAGGCCAATTCCAGTCAAGTGGACTGAACTTGCTGCTAACAATGAGATTTTTCTTTCCCCCATTGATCCCTGGGGAAGTGCCCCTGGCATTCAGCAGGGAGGGGCTGCTGGGTCTCACCCACCCTTCCCAGCCTGACAAGAACCATCTCCAGGTTACCCTGAGCACCAATGAGGGCAGAGATGCTCCAGTGGATCACTGCCTGGAGGTCCTGCAGGAGGAACTGCCTCCCCACCTAAGTCTGCACCTGTGAGAGCAGCACTGGCAGTGGGTATCCATCCCAAAATCAAAGCCAGACCTTCCTCTTTACTCTCCCTTTAGTTTTTGTCCCCTGCTCCAGGAGCCCCTGTGAGCCAGCCCTGCTCAGGGCAGAGCCACCAGGGTGCCCTGGATCCCAGAGCAGGGCACTGCTGGGGCTCTGAAAGGAGAATACAGCTCTCTTTATCCTGCATGTGAGACACAGAGCTCAGACTGCTGTTTGGGTTGGCAAAAAACCCAAAGCCTTTTGCCAAACTGGCCAACAAAGGCGTTCTGCAAGGGCCCAGGCTCATTCACACTCCTCATGGCACCATCTATAAAGGAGCTGAAGGCACTTTTGTTTGGGCCCAGAAGACCAGAGGCCTATTTAAAGAAAATGTACATTTAGAAGCAGAAGAGAGATCTACATTTGGATCCCTCACAAAGCAGGTCTAGACTGAAAAATTGCCTCTCAGGGAACTTTGGGCAAATCAGATGGATTTGTTTAGTTATTCTTAAATCAGAGGGAAAAGCAGCTGTTGTTATGAGTGCTCTATCTCTGAAACAGAAACACCCTGAGTTATCACACACAGCCTCTCTCTTCTGTAAACAGCCCAGCAGACAGACTGGCAGAGAGGAGAGGCCAGCTCTGCTCTGGAGAAGGCACTTGGTGGGACCCCAGCACATCCACAGATCAGACACAGCAGAGACAGAGCCAGGCTCTCAGGCTCGGAGAGGTGCCAGGGGATTAAGTCCCAAGGACAATTAATTAGCTCCCAGGGACAATTAACTCCCAGGGACATTGAGTCCCAGCAGCCCTCCCAGCTCAGCTGCTCCAGCCCCAGGGCTGCGGGAGGCTGCCCCACATCCCAGGGACTGCTCCTGCCAGCCCCAAGCTGCACCCTGAGCTGGGCACTGCAGCACTGGATGGGAGTTCTGGGCCGAGTTCTGCCCCAAATTCAATGTGCTGAGGAGATCCAGGTTGGGAGGAGCTGTGCCACAGCCCAGAACAGGAGGGGATTCTCCCATCCAGTCCTTTGTAAGGACAGCTTGTGTGCATGGTGAATTCTGGAGTTCTGGACAGGAAATGGCACATCCAGCAGTGTGAATGAAGGACTCTGCCTGTCAGTGCCACTGCTGGGGTCACAGGAAGAGAGCAGAAGTGATTCCTTCCGGACTATGAACCCCATATACTGCCAGATCTTGGGAGGGAAAAGCATCACAAACAGGGGCAGGCAAAACCCTGCCAGGAGAGCTGGGTCAGGCCACAGCTGGGGTGACACAAAGGAGGAGCTGGGAGCTCACAGGAGCAGCTCCAGGGCTGGCTGTGTGGGCAGGGGCTCAGACACAAAGGGGAGCATGGTGCTGAATGCAGGGACACCCCTGGAGCCCTGCCCGGCTCCCAGGGCTGTACTCACTTCCAGAGCACCTCCAGGCGCAGCTTGATGGTGCCCAGCTCCGTGATGTCCACCACGATGGCCTGGGGCTTGGGGCTGAAGAAGCTGCTGCTGTCACACGTCACCACCCCCACCAGGATGGTGGCCAGGCCCCGCAGCTCTGTCACCTGCAGGGACACAAACACAGGCAGCTCCAGCTCAGCAGGCAGCCCTGAACCACAGCACGGTGAGGAGAGCAGCCCAGGTACACCTGCTGTGGGCCACTGCAACCCACCTGGCACAGCCCTGAGCCACTGTCCCCACAGCAACCTAGCCTGGCACAGCCCTG